AGAGACAGAGACAGAGAGAGAGACAGAGAGAGACAGAGAGAGAGACAGAGAGAAAGAGCGAGACAGACAGACAGACTTTATGTTTAGCATAGGAATACTGTAACCCAAAATAAACAATTTTTTCATTCATGTGTTTGGTACAGGGTTTCGCTACATAGCTCAGACTCATGATCATGATTGCAGCATGTGCCACCACGCTCAGACTCTAATCCCCATCCCTGCATTGCCAAAGCAGGTGCATGGTCTGCTGAGCTATCTTGCTGGCCCAATAAACAATTTTTAATTCATGTACCTGTCACCTATCTTTTAAATGAATTTTTTTAACAAAATTCATCAAAGAAATAAGGCACTGAGAACCACTGATTGAAGTTATTGATTATATACCTACATATGATAGATATCTATGTAATCAGAAGTACTACGATTCCAATCTATTAAACCTGTATCTTTGATACTACCATGAAATCCGCAAATAGCCACCAAGCTGCACACAGAGGCTTTAACTGTCTTTCTCATAGTGAATTGGATCCACGGTTATTCCTGCTGCAAGCTAGTAAAGAACAGAGCTAGACAGCCTCAAATCCCCGTTGAAACTACAATATGAACATGATTCTAAAGTTTAGGTCTATGTCTCAGCAATCATAAAATTATGTGGAACATGACAGAAGGAAAAGGGTGATTTCCTCCCTTCTCCTTCTGTAACTCAGAGTAAAAGATGAACATTAAATAAAGAACAATAAGCGCTTGCCTGGCAAGCACAAGGACCTGAGTTCAAAGCCTGCTTCCACAAAAAAAAAAAAAAAATGCTACCATCTGCAAATCAAGACAAATTGACTTCTTTCTTGGGGGCCGGGGAGACAGCTCAGTAGAATAAGCACTTCCCTGACAAGCGCAAGGATCTGAGTTCAATCCCTGGTTCTGCCAAAAATAAAAATAAAAAATAAATAAAGAACAATATTGTTTCTGGATAATTATCAAATTTATGTCCCAAATTGACTGTCCCTCTATCAGAAGTGTTTGAATGCTCGACATTTCAAAATTGAGTTTACTACAGTGTTTCATATGCTCTTAATTAACAATTTTGCTTGACCAGAGGGAGAAAGTTGTCTCATTAAAAGAAAAATGAAATAAGAACAAGAACAACTGAAAGATTCATACAGAAGAAAAGAAACTGGCATGTCTTGATCTCTAATAGAAGTAAGGCAGGCCCTGCATGGAAGCCCCGCTGTCCCAGACTATAATGATTCAGAGGTTAAATCAGCCTTTTGAAAGGGTTTCATCCAACTGGGGAGAAAAGGAGAGGAACTAAACACACAGAACGCTGCCAAAACTACGTCTGACTCTCCCAGATTCACATTTGAAATTTTCCAGTTCCTGCACTAAAATACCGGCCCTTAAGTTAAGATCATGTGGTGCTCCTGCCAAAAGTGCAGGCACGCTTTCCTCGCCTACCATTTATGTTCTTTTGGCTACAATTCCAACCCATGCCTTAGCGTCCTCTGATAGCTAAGGAAAACATCTGGTCACAATCTCCTAAATAATATCCCAATTCAGGCTGGTTTTACATTATTCATATTTCCCAGAGAAAAATGTACCTCCCTTGCCTACACATCTCCCCAAAATCCATTTCCAAAGCCCTTTAATTATCTAGATTGATATTCCCTGGCTGCTTCAACAAGTATTCCATTTCTTAAGCTGTTGAGAAGAAAATCGAATAAGAATTTCTACTATAGGCCAAACCACTCTGAGTTGAGTAACAGAAGGACTTAAATATTCCCCATGGTACTTTTCTTCTACTTCAGTTGTTTTCTGTCCAATTTCTATAAGTTCAACCAAACACATTAGCTAAAACCATCACATCCTTTGTTGTTCAACAGTATTGTTACATTAAGAAGTCAAGTTCAGCTAAGCAATGGGGATACGTAGAGAAAACTATTCTGTTCCTGCTCACAATTTAGGCAAAAACAATGAAGACAAGGTAAAACTAAATGGCTTGGCCAAGTAACAAACTTGAGCTTCTGCAACAATTGGGCAGGAATAAACAGGCCTTGGTTTTGTCTAAAATAACATGGAGTCGGACCTGCTTTAAGGCTGGAACAATTTTATCTGAAGTACTGAAGCATGATAGAGAGCTTCACTGTAACCTCCGTTTCCAGCCCTTTTTAATTTAAGAGTTTTACTAGATCGTCCAGGGTGAACTGGGGTCCAACTTGCAATCATCCTGCCTCGCCCTCCAGGAAATGTCAGCCAAAACCAACGGCATGGTTCAACATAGCAAAGATGTTGCTTAACTTGCAGGTACCTGGCCCTTATTTTTGCATTTCCTTAATGGAAAGGTCTAGAGAGTGAGCTTTTTATCTGAATTCTATCAAGTACATCTGCAGATTCTTATGCATACAAACATCTGAAAACACCATCACAGAAAAAATAAAGTGGAATGTAATATGAAGAAAGTGTACTCAGAAACTTACTAAATTTACCAGAAATTGAGGCCAGAACTTTATTTATTTATTTATTTATTTATTTATTTATTTATGTATTTATGTATTTATGTATTTATTTGGTACAGGATCTTGCTATGAAGCCAGGACTCATAGTGATCCTACTGTCTCAGCCTCACAGCACTGGGATTACAGATGTGTGCTCACACCCGGTTTCGGTGGTCAGCCTAGCTCCCAGGGTTATGGCACAGTATGTGGTGCTAGGGATTGAACCCAGGCCCTTGTGCTTGCCAGGCAGGCACTTAGACCACTAAGCTATCTCCCCAGCTGAGGCCAGTACTTAGAATCAAATGTTCATTTACAGTGTGACTGCTGGTTTGGTTTGGTTTAGTTTAGCTTGGGTTTGGTTTGGTTTGGTTTGGTTTGGTTTGGTTTGGTTTGGTTTGGTTTGGGTTTGGTTTGGCGTGGGATGAAATAAGAGCTTAGTCACTAGAATACTAAAACAAAACATTTATTTACACATCTTGGACTCTAAACCAGGTAATGAAACTGACGTAGGTAAGAACTCCTAGACTTCCATGATATTTAATAGCAGGCTGGAAATGTCAGGGGGCATCTTTGCACTGAAGAGCATGTATCTAAATCTGAGCCCACGTACTCTGCATGTTCTTATAGGTTCTTTACCATTGTCTTGAAAAAATAAAAAGAAATAGACACATGCCTTTCCAGTGTGGAAAAGACAGTTCTTTGAGTGCTAGAGTTAAGTATGAAATCGGAGTCTTTAAATGTCTGTGGAGCAGGATCGGTAGATAGTACTACTATCGCACATGCCGGGGCCAGACAGCAGAAACTCAAGCTTTCCTGTTATCTTTTGAGGAGGAACCAGCACGCTACTCAATAAACAGACTTGCATTTCCTGGGGCCCAGGGGGACACTTCTGAGCTCTGTTCTGCTGAAGAAAGATTCTTCTAACCTTACATACACCATCTTCCAGCTCTTCCGGAGGCAAGTCTGGGTTTCTTTCCACATGAAGGTTCCAGCGATCCAGTTGTACAATTGTCCCATCTTCTACTTGGCAGAGGATCTTAGAAACAGGTTCATCAGTGTAGCCCTGGCAAGAAAATCAGAAAGCACAGCCACTGCAGGGAGGAGTAGAAGGCAGGGTAACCAATGGTGGAGGAACCCTTGTGCAATTGCTTCTACTTACTTTATAATTAAGAAAGCTAAGGTGAGTTGCTTTCCTTGAGTCACTTAGAACTTAAGACAACAAGACAACACTCACATACACAAAACAGTAGCTCTGGTTGATATGAGCTGAGGGATAATTTTTTGCCAGCACTGGAGAACCAAGAGCCACTGATGATCACTGAGGTCCATAATGGGTTGATGCTTTTATTAAGTAAACAAATGGGACTCTTTATACCTCTTAACTGGAGGGATTCAGTGATAAATAGAACAAACATATGCAGAAAAGGGGAAAATCAAGCAAGGAGGGACCTGATCAACAGCTTACTCCTGTTAATAGTCCATCTCGCTCACTGCTCTCTCACCTGTCTTACGATCCCATCCCTCCAGGACCTGAGATATGTCAGACTGAGGACCAGCATCATCAGAGAGCTACTTATTCCCTTGGGAACCACTAGTGACATCATGGTTATTAAGGCTGGTCAGTTGTTGATTTGGATGTGAGAAATTAGCACCAATAATAATCATCTTACATACATATATTAGCTAATATTCTGCTTACCTAACACAAAGCAAAACAAAAACCTGTGAAAGTTACATCTGCCCAAAGTTCAGATTAGTTTTTCCTAGACATTTGAAGAAAAGTTTCAGGATATCGAGCCCAGCCCAGGCAATGTTCTATCCTGAGCAGATAAAACAAGGGTAATTGTGCATATGTTAGTGTCTCATGCCTTCTTACTTAGCACTGTAAATGAGCAAGTGAAATGGCTAGTTATAGGTGAGGTGCATCTCCCACCTGCCTGAAGTTGGCACCACGCTGGGAAAAACAGTCAGACATCTGAATTGTCAAAGCCATGACAACACTAACCAGAGAAAAATCAACATCTCAAAAAAAGCGCTCATGAAGAAAGGGTTGGAAATCTAAACCAGATGTACTATTCTGGTCAGAGCTAAAGGTCAGGGTGAATTCAAGTCTGAAAGATGACTTGACATGAAGCCTTGGAACCAACCCATCTACTGTGTTCTGGGGGAGAAGGCCCTGAAGTCCCAGGCCTGGGCACTAACCACATGCCTTTCTTCTACTAGGCCTTCTCTTTGCATCACAAGGCTTATATTGAAAAAGCAGCCCAATAAAATTAAATTTCAAAGGCACTTTGATTCCCATTTTTAACTTATTCCTTGAATAGCAGCAGCAGAATGTTTCTACTGGGCCATTTATGAACACATCCAACACCAGGATGCTGTTCGTTCCTTGAAGGCAGGGTCAGCCTCTGGGAGTTCTTACCCCTCCCCAGTTGAGAGTCCGAGCCAGGTCATTCCCTGTTCCCAGAGGAAGGACCCCCACAGGGGGCTGGGGGCTCAGCTGCAGTTCATCCAGGATGGAAAGAATCCAGCCGACCTGCCATTTCAGGGACCAGAAGAGAGAAAAGAAGACAAGTAAGTTACAGAGAAGGCAATTTGATGGGAAGAGGCTGTAAAGAGATGAATGGAATATTTTGGAGTTTGTTGTTGTTGTTGCTTTGTTTAATCCAGTTGGTAAGAAACAGAAAGGGCAATCCTCATGGGCACTGTTATGGTTTGTGTTTAGTTGTCCCCTCAAAGACTCATGTAAGTTATGGGGTGATCGCAGGTGGAGGAGCAATGAGTGGCTTCAGGGGCAGGGTGAGAGGACCAGGTCGGGGCCCGAAGGGCAGGGCCAGAGAGGTGTGAATTGTTAAAGTGGCTAGCCTGTGCTTTCTCAGACATGTGTGGAGAGGGTCATCCCGGACACGGCAGCGCCCCAGCCTCCCCTCCAGTGTCTTGAAACCTCCAGTAATTGTAAGCTAAATAAACCTTTCCTTCCCTCATTTTGAGTGTCAGGTATCTGTCCCAGCAACGAGAGAAGAGTAACAAACACAGGTACTTTTATGGTAAGCTCTTTTTTACAAAAGGGACTGTTCCAGGACCAACAGTTAAATCTTAGAAGTGGTTTATGCATCCATGAGCACACGCTGTCAGAGAAAATGTGGCATACGTACATGATGTAATACTACTAAGCATAAAAAAGGATAAATTTTAGTCATTTGTAAGGTAGTGCATGCCCCTTGAAACCATCACGCTAGGTGAAATACATATCACATGATGTATCTTATATGAGAAATCTAAAGTATAAATTGTTTTTAAATAATAATAAAAGACAGATGATAAGAACCAGGAAGATAAGCTGTGAAGATGAAAGGGGACCTGGGGATGGAGGACAAAGATGGGGGATTTCCCTGAATACAGAAAACAGAGAGGGCACCCACAAATGGGGGATCGGGGAGTGGAGAAAGTAAAAAGGACCGAAAATCTACGTGGATGGGTACAGCTTATATAACACAAACGTACTAGTGGAAAAGTACAAGATCACTTTAAAACTTATAATCTTAACTCCCATTAGACATTAACCAATTTGTTTTGTATTCATTGCACAGACCATGTTTTTAGAAATAATACTTCAATAGCAAATTTGAGGAAAGCCATTACATATAGAACAGAAAACCAAGCAAATGAAAGAGATACATGAACAAGACTCAAAAATAATGTTCTCAAAAAGTTTGCAATAATAGAACAATGACATTCTTGACTGCTTCCTAGGTACTATGCCTGAGCAAAGGGCTCCTAATGAATTGTTGAACTTTAAAATAACTACGAGATCACTGTAATTTTCATTTCCACTTTGTAGATAAGCAAATTGAGATGTGAAACAACCTCTTGGCATCATGCTGCTCATCAGCAGACCTGGCATTCAGCACCCCGTATGGCCAACTCTTCACCATGATAGTGTAGGGCATCTTTCAGTAAATACCGAAAGCCAGTTCCTGACACAGCCTGACAAACTTGGAGGCAGTGACATGGGACTTCAGAATCTCTTTAGCTGGAGAAACCTTAGAAATTGCTGAATCAAATTCAGTTAGCTTGCAAATTTATTTATTCAAGTGGAGAGAAATCCTACAATTCTTTCAACTCTGTCTAAGTGGCAGAGTCCGAGTAGTATCACTGCTCCTGACTTCCATCTAAAACACTTCCTCCTCCAGGGACTCCCTCCCAAGATGTACAGCTTGTGTGCTGAGGAACGAAGTACAAAGTTGTGTTCAACTTCTGACATGGCACAAAAAGACCTTAAATGTCCAGATGTCAAGAAATCTATTCATTCCCCCGAACAGAGTAATTTTCTTCTACCAAAAAAAAAAAAGCTTGACCTAGGGCTTCTTTAGCTCTTCATTTACACATAACACTGGTGAAGCTTGCTGTTGAGAAAAAAGAAAACAAACAATGCCCGATGCTAAATTAGCTTCAATGGTTGCGCCAGACAGTGCTCCTGGGCTGCTAGAAGAGTGAGCTAAACACAATGAAAGTGGAGAGCTTTAATAAACGAGAAGGGATTATAGGGCCTTAAAAGGATGTAAACATTCAGAAGGCCCCACAATCTGGTGTCACAGACAGCAGACACAAATATCCATGAGCAGAACCAGACTTGGACAGGAAATTAAATTTAGCAGAAATTAAATTCAACATCCAGTCCAGAGAAGGAAAAGGGAGGCTTTCTTCTTAAAACTTCTCTGTAAGGTGATCATCCACCATATCATTTTTGATTTGGCCTCACAAGTTAGCCCATTTTACTTCCAGCAGCTTTAAATTAGAAATGTTTCACTTTATATTTAGTAGAAATAAGTCTCTTTTTTGTAAAGATACTCTATTACTATATTAGTGTGTTTCCATTTTCTTTTTTTTATAGGTTCTCAATATGCAATTTGGGCTGGACTTGTGCTCAATTCTGTGGCCCCCAGGCTGGTCTTGAACTCGCAGAGATCCTCCTCACTCAATCTCCTGAGTACTGGGATTATAGGCATGCACTACCATGCCTAATTCTGGGGTGCACAGCAAGCACCTGCATCTGAGGCCAAGACAACAAGGCACGGGGGGTGGAAGGATCAAACTCAGATCCTTGTGCTTGCCAGGTATGTGCTTATACCTCCGAGCTATCTCTCCAGCCCATTTCCACTTTCAACACCCCCATTTCACTCTAGGCCTAGCAATGAAAAAGGACCAGAAGGGAAGGGGAGGGAGGGAAGAAAGAAGGAAAAGGGGGAGGGGAAGGAAGAGAAAGAAGGATAGGAAGGGCTGGGGAGACAGGGCTACTTTGTGTTGTTAGGAGCCAGAAACAACACAAAGTAGCAAAGCAGGAATAAAGGTTTGGAGCAGCCAGGCTGTTGGCCTTGGGAGGAACAGAGGAAGTGCAACTTTGGTTTCCATGAATAGTACAGAATAAAACTGCGCCCCCTGCTGGCATGAGGCTATAGAATACCGTGTCCCTCAAGACAGGAAAAAAGAGGGACAAAGGTGTGAATAAATGAAATAGAAGAGAAAAAAGAGGCAGGGGGAGCGCAGGATCCACATTAGCTCCGCCTCTCAAGTCTCCCTCAGTAGAACAACTCCTGAGTTCCTCCAGATGTGGGTGGCACAAAAGACGAGGACACAGGCGCCCACTGTCCTGATTTCTTCACACCAGCCAGGCCTGTGCCTTCCAGACCCAGGGGTACTTTTAGTCTTGTTTTTCTCTTTTCTTCAGCCAAAGACTGCTCTTCAGAACCAACTGCTCCCTTGTTTGTTCAAATAAACTTTTGATGTCCTCTTTGGCCTGTCTTGTTTGATTCTTTGTTCCAGGTGAAAAAGATCCGGGATCCGTGGAACTGGTGAGCCAGTTTTTAAAGAATTACCCAGTAACATAGCAACCGTCTTCAGCCACGGTTCCTGGAAAGCAGAGACCTGCCGCCGCCGCGGGAAGAAGCCAAGAAAGCCTCTCCCTAGCAAATGCATGGCCTGATTTCTCAAGGGATTGGGGCCTCCAGGTAAGGGGCAAAGCACAAGGCCCAGTAAACTACGGCAAAGCAAGCTGAACCGCAAGGAATCTGCTGGCGACAGGGAAGCTGGGGAGCAGCAGGAGCAAACGCCAATAGACCCACAGCCTTGCACGTCCCCTGCCCCTTGGGCTGCCCTTTTGTGGGCATTATCTAAGCTTTTAGACTCAGGCACTTCCTTGGCATCTCCAGCTCCTCATGCAGGAGCAGCTTTCCTCTGCTCTCATGAATCACAACCTGCCCACTCCGTACTCACTCCTCTCCTGTGCTCTGCTCTGCTCTCCTCTCCCCTTCCCTCCCCTTCTCTCCCCTCCCATCCACTCCCCTCCTCTCTTCTTCTCTCCTCTCCCTTCCCTTCTCCACTACTCTTCTCTCCTTGGTATTTTTTTTTTCATCCTTTTCAGCTGCCTCAGAACAAAAACCCAGAGGAGAGCTGGTTAGAGAATTGCTCATGCGCCCCTGTCCCTCAGATCTTCCCATGGTGGGAAGCTTTGGCCATCGATAGAAAGCGCAGCTCTAACGTGAAAGTTCTGGAAACAATTCAAAACTACTAGAAAGTGGCAGCAAAATATTGAGACAGAAAAGTAGAAATCAAATAGCTCCCTCTGAAGATGAGCCAACAACAAAGACAGGTTTTAAACCACACCAGTAGTGCAAATACTAAAATCGATGGCAAAGTAAGAGGATTCATTTACTGCCCATGATGCAAATAATTTCCAAGAAATTATTTCCAAGGGCTTTGAGAAAAGCCCTGTGATTGTGCCAGTTGATCTTGTGTCTCCTAACAGTAGTCTGGTGGGTATTAGCGCTCTGTTCCTCTACTCAGGCTTCTGTCCCAGTCTGTTTTCTCCTAGAAGGCTGGGAGGGGCTCTGGTGGTAAGGCACTCTGGTTCCACACCAGCCCTCAGAACCTGTGGACTTCCCACTCTCTCCTCTCCTCCTCCAGTGCAGAACAGGCAAGAGTACAACAGACTTCAACCTAAAAGTGCTTCTGCTCTGCAAATTGGATAGATATATATTCTATCTCCACTTTGCAGCCAGGCGATCAAAACTTCCCCTTCTCTCTGAGTACAAGCTTGTATTTCACCATTACAGCAAGTGCCTCCTGTCTTTCAGGGCAGTGTTTTTGGTTTTGCTGTTTTCGTCTTGAAATTCTCTTATGCATAACCAATGTGAGGGTACTACTCCCGCGGCCCGCATGGATCTGCATCTTTTCTCTGCCTTCCCTGAATAATCCTTCTTTTCTAATAACTACAGCAGTACCATACCATAGCCAAGGTCCTCCAAGGCCTTATAATGCAGAGGCAAAGGGTCCAGGGCAAATGAGCCCACTAGGATGGAGCCTGGGATATAGGTTAGCTTTCCTGTTGCTGGTATAAAGTATCTTAATAGAAGAGAGTATTATTTTCATTCACGGTTTCAGAAGACTTGGTCTAGGCAAGACCTTCATGGCAGGGCAGTATGGGGGATGCAGAGCTGCTTAGCCATAGTGGCTGGAAAGCAGGACACAGCAGAGGAGCACGAGAGAGGAGAGGCAGGGGACTAGGGACAGTGCCCCCCATGGTGACGCCTCCACGGTTCACCCCATCTCATCAGGAGTGTGCTTTGCTAATCCTCCTGGCAACTTTCAAGACAAGCAAGCAGACAGTGAAACTGAACCATGCCCCCGGCTCTATCACACTCTGGCCGCGTAAGCCTAAGCAAGTCATCTGTTTGTCTGGCCCTGAAAGGGTAACGGTGTTTGCACGTTAGTGTTATTGACCCAGCTAACCAAGGGGGTGACATGGTTCTGCATGCATCTGACAGAAGGAAATGCTAAATTACAACTAACTGCAATGACTCAGCTATATTATTCCTCCTTTTCCCTAATTTTATCGTCGATGATTTCCTAGAAGCAAAATGCCCTTCTCTTTTAGCTCCATTTAAAAAACCCTGAGCCCTAAGTTTGCAAAGCACTTCTACATTTGGCTGCCACCAAATCAAGAAACCTTCTTTTTGGAGACTACAAAGAACAGTAAAAACCAACCTCCTCTGTCATAAAATTAAGGTGTTGAAAAAGCATGGCTATGAATGCACCTAACATGGCAAGTGAAATAAAAGACGTTGAGTAATAATCTATGTCTTTGTCCTTATAAGAACAAAACTGTATAAAAGATCTTTAGGCCCAACGCTGCTGCTGGAAGCTCTGCCTTCATGAGAGCCAGAGGCTCATTCCACTCAAAGTCCTGGAACTGCAGAGCAAGTTTGCAGCAGAAGTTCGTGTGCCAGCCCTGTGTCACCTCCAAACTACCTCCACCAACTCACCCAGCACTCTTGCCGGTTAAATTATTTAATTCATTGTGACACGCGGTACTTGGCGTATTTTCCACAAGAATCAAAACAAGTTATCTTGATGGGGCCAAATCCTGTTCTAGCTTGCAGAGCTCTTTCCTTCCTTGGTTAGAAAAAGCACAGCTGACAGATTTAGAGTACCAGGGACTCCACCCCTCGCTCAGCAGCCGCGAAGAGCAGCAGCTGGTCAGTGCTGCCGCCGCCTGTCCACTGTCAGTCTTAGCGGTCACTGAATGATTCCTAGCAATGTTTCGTTTGCACCTTCGCTTACAGGAAGCTCGGCTGAGGGACACAGGTGATCAGGCACAGGCCATTTTGCTAAAGGAACGAGTCCACTTCATGGAACTGTAGAGGCGGCAGAAGAATGTACTGCAAACTTTCACTCAGAAAGAAAATCAAAACATAGCATTGGACCTTTTCATATACAGACACAGCTCTCTGTATCCAGGGCTTCTACAGCAGAGAATTCTACAACTGTAGATTGAAATTTTTTTTTGAAAGCAAGTTAAGTCTATATTAAACTTGCGTAGATTTCCTACTTGTCACCCTTTCCTAGAAAACACAATTATTTATAGAACAAAGACCTTAGATTAGGTACGACATGAGGTATGATGACTGAAATGCAGGAAATGTTGCATTCTTAAGTATTTTATTACAACAAAAGATACACTGTATGAATTCCTCTCAAAACGATGACCTTCATTTCAAGCACACTTACCCTGTCCTTTTTGCTACTTCCTCAGGTAGTTCTGAAAGATCTCCGTGAGTATCCAGAGTTGTGCATTTGTGGGTGTCTCAGTGTCCTAAATAGATTTAAAATATTTTCCTTTCATGGCTGCCTTGACTGGGGGAAAGACTCAAAAGTCACCTGGTACCAGTTCCAGTGAAAAAGAGGCATAATGACACACTGTAGTGTTTTCACCTGCCTGCTCTCCCATGACACTTAGCAACCACAGTCACCATATTTTTGGTTACTACTCCTATAGACACGCAAGAGAAGGCACTCCCAGAACTGCTTCAGAAAGTGGCAAGAACAACAGAATCAAACTGTCTGAAGTGAGGGAGAATATTTTGCAGGGGATCAGCGGCAATGTCTTACACTGCGATATTTCCAGTGCAAATATTCTGCATATATTTTGATCACACCTCATCAGGAGTCCACAGATGATGTCAGGTAGACGGGAGTATGAGCATACGCTCCTCATAAATAGCACACCACTTTACCCAGAGAACCTGAACATACATAGAATTTGGCATCCACAAGGGGGCACCCGGATAGTGAGAAAAAAGACTCAACTCTCATTCTTCCTTGGGATATTTTCATTCATGAACTTGATGGTTTACAACGTTACCATGTGTTTAAAGAGATCTGTTTAAAGTTAACCTAAAAGAAATCAAAACAAAAGTCAAACGCTAAGCTTCTTTCTGTAGTGCAGTGTGTGCTTAGGATAGCCCCTGGCTGACCACGCTGATGGTATAACATGGGCTCACTTCGTGAGTGAGGGTGGGCTTCCGGGAGGGCGAAAAGCTTAGGAAACTCTGCTTTCCACTGTCAATTTAAAAATAATAATAATAGTAACAATCTATTTGGCTGTGGCAAGTCTGGGAATCACCTGCCATTTAAAACGTCTCCTAACCTAGGGCCAAGTGAACAGGAAGTCAGTCCTGCATGCATGGCTAAATTCAATTTCTTTCCAGACTTTCAGCTGGGCATGAAGATGATTAAAGTGGACTTTCTAATTCAGCCCAGATCTTCAAAGTTAGAAGCCAGTTCAGTTGGGACCATGGATTAGACCCCAAAAAGCCACAGAAGTATATGTGGGCCTCAAATGTCTGTATTGTTTGAGCAGGGCGACAGGCCTAGAAGATCAGATAGATATAGCTAAAACCAAGAAGCTGAGCAAATACAAGTTAGAGTGACTATTTCTGGTTTGTAAACATGGAGGCCTGAGATGTTTTGTGCATCAGCTGAATCTTACCTTAGCCTGGGGCTCAAGAAGGAGGCCAGACCCTCCGAGATGAGTAACTGTACATCAACCTCAGAACTGCACAGATCTGTGACAAAGAGACTAGGCCTGACGAGGCCTGAGCTGCCCATCAGAGCAGCCCCTGGCCATGTGCAGTGACCGAGCCAGTTGACAGTGACCAGTTCAAACTGGATGTGCTTTTTGAAGATGACAGAATGTAAAATATTTCACTAATCACCTTTACAGATTGTTTGGTGACAGGATATCTGGGATACATAACAAAGTATGTTTTACCTATACTATTTTTGCTGATCATTTCTACTTTTTTCAGTGCCATTTAGAAAACTCAAGTGTGACCAGCGTGGTGTGTGTCACAGTTCTCTTGAACAGCACAGTGCTACAGCTGTGATGAACTAACTTTAGAGACCCACATGCATCCCCTTACAGACAAAATAATAAAAATGTCATGACATGCTGGCACAGCCCCCTGATCCACCTCCACCTCCAAGTGTACTTTTCCGAGATAGACTGTTCTCCCTCCTAATATGTTTAATAGCATAACTTTAAAAGTAACGAATAGAGAAGCCTAACCACTTAGGGCCAAAATAATGAAAATTTTCTTTCCATTCAATATTACTTTTTAGACAAAAATAATACAGATAAGAAACAATATGCCTTTATCCTCAACAATCAAAACTATTCCATCTCTGCTCCCGCCCTGAGTCTTGGCCCCATGCGGGTAGGACAGGCACAGCTCCCACGCTGCTGGCAATGCTCACTAACTGAAGGCTAAACACCTCACTTGTCAAATATATGCCCGACATTCTCGAGCATACACTGCACTCGCCCAGGGCCAGAAGCTTCTCATCGCGGATCCACCGAGCTGTCTTTCTTTACACAGACTCTGCCTGCACTCGGCGTGAAAAGTTGCACATTCCATACTAATAAAACAAAACGAATGCCAACCATACGCCAGGACCAACACTGCACAAACCCTGTACTTGTGCGGGGTTGTTTGTCTGCTTGATTTCTGCTGCTTGGTTCTTGTTTTGCCAAACACTTTACTTCAACAAGGTAAAATAAAATAAAAGTTAGCTTTGCATAAGGTACAAGATAAAGTTTTGGCTCTGGCTGACTGACCAGCCGATGTAGCCATCAACAAAAACCATTAGTTCAGAAGTCTGTGAATACATGGCCTTTAGCGTGAGCATGCCCAC